TATGGCTCAACATCCGAGTTTCAAACAGATTTTAGCATGTTTTTAGCTAAAAAAGCTCAAAAAGGGTGATAATCACCAAAAAACGCAATAAAAGGCGAAAGAAACGGGCAAAAAGGGCCAAAAAGGGCGAAAAAAGGGCGAGCACCTTTGGAAAAGGGCTACCCCCCCTACAATAGAGGTGACCCTGCGTACGCGCCTGGTCGGTGTCGTACAACGAGTTATGATATGGGCTGAGGGCCATTGTCCATTGACCCTTTGGCTTTTGCAAACCTCTAATCCTCATACATGTAAGTCTACAGCAGGGAGTCGTAAAATACCACTCCCTGGCCTACAGTCAACTTCGCTTATAAGTAATTTAACGACACTCGGCGGGGCCTCAAAAAAGTGTCCTTATTCGCGAAGTGTCGTTATACCCGAATTCTCATTATAATATGTATTACAGGTGGAAGGGACTTTGCTCTGGGCATGGAAATTCTGTCGTTATTCGCGAATTGTCGTTATATCCGCAGTCGCTATTAGCCAAGCTGACTGTACATTTCATTGGTCTATACATTGTAAATTTGTAAGTGTCCAACACTGGCTGTTACGACTTACCACCCTAGCACGAGGCTCTCCGCGGATAACGCCGGCAGAAACATTAGGCAGAATGTGGTAGCACTCAATGCGACGGACCCCACAATAGGCGGTCAGCCTTTGGGTCATTCTAATAGAGTTACTATTATTACTTCTAGTATTTCTGGTACGTAAAATAGCAATGAATAAACTAATTATCTACGTGGAGATAATAATTTTAATATAGCTATGAATAGGATGAAGGCCGCAGACATCACGCAACTACGTTACTTGTTCGACATGTATTTACTGTGTATTTTATAACAAAAATATTATTGAAAACCCATAATCGATTTTCTTGTTCCTATCATCAGTGGGAAAAATACGGAACTATGAAGTGTCAACCTACCTGCAGAGGACGAGGCAGAGGATGGTAGTGATGATGATCGTGAGGATGACGAGCGGAACGAGGAAGAGGATGATGAGATGGACGAGGAGGAGTCGGGTGGGAAGGAGCGAGATGAGGCGGATGAATGTGTTGATCGTAAGAAGTCAGCTGTGTATCTACACTTGTTATCTCGTCCTGACTGTCTTAGTGTGTATGATGACTCTCATTTTTCTGTACTGTGTCGTGCACGTTATGTCCAACAGTTGAAAGTCCTTGAGGCAGTCTGTATACGTATTCATAAGCCTGTTTTGTGTAAGCAGAAGGAGCACGTTGTTGCACTGAAGTTGTATTCGTAGGTTGACACTTCATTTAGCGCCTTCTCGCCTTTGGTTACGTAATCTTGTTACCTTTTTGCGTTTCCTCTAGTGGTTTTATTGCACTTGTATTTTGTTGTTATTTCTAACACATTTCTATTTACAGTACTTAAATTCAGTTTCTTTGGTTGTATCCTTAGTTCCGTATTTTTCCCACTGATGATAGGAACAAGAAAATCGATTATGGGTTTTCAATAATATTTTTTGTTATAAAATACACAGTAAATACATGTCGAACAAGTAACGTAGTTGCGTGATGTCTGCGGCCTTCATCCTATTCATAGCTATAATTATTAAAATAAACGAATTGTGCACTCATAACCATGCACATGTGCAAAAGTAGCAAAACAATTATTAAATTCCAGAACTTGTCCTTGTAACTATCATCAGTGGAACATCGTCATTAGGGTCCTGCGGATAATGCTCCAAAAATGTTCGTATAATGCTAATTATAATGTTCCAAAAACTACCTTATAATGCTGATTATAATGCTTCAACAAGGGCTATAATGCTCTTGGTTAGGAACAAAAAATGGAAGAAAGGCTGTACATTGTCAAGCTGATACAAAATCTCTCACGAGCTCCACCACTTCTTAGCACTATAAGACATGATCGCGTCTCCATTGGCTGCTCTCCGTTGCAACTTTCATGCAGGGCTGTGGCTGAATAGTGGGTGTATCAAATCTTTTCCCCTGCTTATCCATGTAGTGCGAGGTGAAACCATTATTGCTGGTGATCATTTGGATGCTGGAAGGCTGGAAGCTTATCATGGGAAGTGGTATTCCTGCCTGCAGACAAGCTGTCACTGCTTCCACTCTGTGAAAAATGTCTTCATCTGAAACAGCTCACGTGAGGCCAGTTCCTGAGAGACGATCTCAGATCTAGATCCCTCCCATTGCAGAAATCCTGAAAACACGTGGTCAGAAGTTATTTTGCCGCTGTACATCCTCTGCTTGCCGCTGGCTCTCTTCTTCTCCTGAGGTTGCGTGGAGACAAATGCTCGGCCACAATACTTTTCTTTCCGATAGCACTTGACTGCAGGCCTTGCATTACAATCGTCCACAACTACTCACTGTACGTGCTTCACCAGGAAAGTAAGACACGCAGTGCTGAGCACTCAAATCGACTTGGTACTGCGTCCATGAGAAATTCTAGTTCTTTTCGAGCCTGCTGAGCTGGACTCGGCAAAGGCAGTTAGTTATTCGGAACAAGCTCTTTCTGTTTATAGCCGCTACTTCATCCAGGTCCAAATTTATCAATGGATCCGGCAGTGTTTACTTCAGGATCGCTAGAGATGCTATAGCCAGAACCTAGGCTATGACATAACAGGAAAACTCCTCTTCGTCTGTTTGATATTCACTTGCATAAAAGGTCCTTACGGATTGTGTGTAACAGCCTCAGTTTGCAACGTTGGGCATGCTACATCACAGGTACATTTACCTGGCTACATTGCTACATAAATTCCTTATGTAGCAAAGGCATTACATGTACATGTGTGTAGTCAGGTAAATATAGCATTTATATAGTGCTAAAGGTGTTACGTGTCTACAAAATCACAAAGTAATGTGCCGGCACAATACATGGCGTTGCGCCTCATGGCTTTAGGCAAAAACCTGAAATTTCCCGACATTATCCACTATGAAACTCGTTATGCCGCTCAAACCTCACAAAATGCTCGTCTTGTTCCTTTCTAATGCTCCATAATGCTCTAATGCTCGGATAGTCTCATCATCCCGAATAATTATAATGCCGGCATTATCCGCTGGACCCTAAGATTGGTCTCATGGTAATAATCACTGAAACAACCAGTTATACACCTGCATGTCGCTAGAATAGTAATCACAAATAGCAGCTTGCGGTTACCATGGTTACACATAGCGTCATTTACACCAGCAGTGTGAGATGTGTCTGGTATGTTTCAAGCTCGCTTGGCTTGGCATGAAGAAACAGGAAAGGTCCAGTAGTGGCCAGTACTCAAAAGAAGAGCCTGCAATAAGCTTTGTATGGCTCTTGCCATTTCACTGCTTTACGAGCATTATCAGCCTGCCACCACCTCGCCCTGGCCGCTAGAAGCCGCATCTGCAACCATGGTACATGTATCTGGAAAAAGCTTCCAGAAAGAGAGGGTTTATGCCATTTTTGAACATTTCAAAAGGAATCATGTGCAGTACTGCCTATTATTATCTCTTTGTACAGTGCATTCAACTTTGAAATGCGACTTTTTCCACACTGTTGCAGCTCAAAACCACGGAAGCCCCCCCCCCCTTTTGATTCTGCAAGCTCAATTACGGTATGATTATTGGCGATCTCTTTTCTGTATTAAAGGGGAAGTTAAGGCAAAAATTAAAATTTCACCAGTTGTAGTCTTCGGGGTGCTGAGTCGAATGGTCTTGGTCCGAGAAAAATGAGACGCTCCCTTCCTACTTGAATCCCAATCGAACTCGCGCACTTCCACCGAAACTGGGTGACTGCGCCCTACTAGATGGGGATTTGTATGCAAAATGTCACTAAAAGCGCCATTTCGTTCTTATAAAAGCACGGATGACCGCGATTGGCCCATATGTTGTAGTCTTTTGGACGCTGAGTCGACTGGTTTTGGTCCGAAAAGGCTGCGATGCAGCGTTCGCCCCTAATTCCCAATCGAACATGGTTGAACAAGCGGTCACGTGCTCTTGCGTACACCAGTCACCGTGCCTGCAGGCCCGTGCAGGGTACAACTTACACTAAGTTACAGCCTGTTTTGACCTTTTTTGGGTGCAGTCCTGTCACTCGAGTTGAACCTTGGTGTGAAAGTTGTCGCCTGCTGGCGTGGTGACCAGGTGATTTGGGCACCCAGGAGCACGTGACCGCTTGTTCAACCATGTTCGATTGGGAATAAAGGAGGAAAGCTGCATCGCAGCCTTTTCGGACCAAAACCAGTCGACTCAGCGTCCAAAAGACTACAACATATGGGCCAATCGCGGTCATCCGTGCTTTTATAAGAACGAAATGGCGCTTTTAGTGACATTTTGCATACAAATCCCCATCTAGTAGGGCGCAGTCACCCAGTTTCGGTGGAAGTGCGCGAGTTCGATTGGGATTCAAGTAGGAAGGGAGCGTGTCAGCTTTCTCGGACCAAGACCATTCGACTCAGCACCCCGAAGACTACAACTGGTGAAATTTTGATTTTTGCCTTAACTTCCCCTTTAAGTATTCACCAGTTTTAATCTCTGAAGTGAAGGACAAACTGATGCTGTTTCGAGGGATATTGTTCGCGCCCTTTCAGGGCTCAGAGCGAGATAACAAGACGGGTAACAATCAAGACATGATCAGCCACGATACCAACACTGCTCATGCACACTAAGCAGAAAAGAAGAAGAAAAAACTGCAAACGAAAACAAAATGAAACAGGATTACTAGCGAGGACTTGAGGGAATTAATACAGGTGACGGTTCGCAATGGTCAAGCACTGTGTACATATAAAGTGGGGAACACAGTCTCAGTGTGCACACACACATACACTACCGCTGGTTAATTCTGGAGAGAGAGAGAGAGAGAGAGAGAGAGAGAGAGAGAGACAAAGAGAGAGAGAGAGAGAGAGAGAGAGAAAGAGAGAGAGAGAGAGAGAGAGAGAAAGAGAGAGAGAGAGAGAGCTTACTCGCGCCCCACAAACACCAACAAATTAAGTACAACACAAAACAATTGCCTTTAGAGAGACGCAGTCAATATAAGAGGAACCAGTCCGGCCAGACAGATGGCCATGAACAGACGGGGAGAATGCGTGCTGGGCGCGGACGACTGGCCCGCAACCGTTGTGTCATTCCCTGTGGACTGTTGTAGAGATGACGGTGCTGGGGTGCGAGTGGCTGGAGGAGGGGTGGTGACTGGGGCAGGTGTAGTGGTTGGAGAAGAAGTTGTGGTCGGAGGACAAGTAGTGGTCAGTTTGTACGGTTGCTGGCGACCTTGGGCATCAGCGTAATTGCATGTAACCAGGTAGGCAAGTGGAAACCGCGTGGGGTTGAAACTATGGCCCGTTGTGTCGGCGGTCATGCACATCTTCGCACCGCAGCCGACTTGGGTTGTGCTGCTCCACACCAGCTGCGTGTAATGGCCGCACACCTTGGCAGGTTTGCACGTGTTCGTGGTGAAGTTGTAGTCGTATTTCTCGTTGTCCCAGCTTGCAACGACGTCGTCGGCATCCGTGTCTAACCCCCATGGCCCACCAACTGTACTGGCAACACTAATGTAGAGGTTCTCCCCGACTGTCCGTCTTGCGAAAGCACTGCCGGCATCGGTCTTTCTATTTCCATTATGGTCGAAGATGCAGCGATTGGTGTACGTCTGCGCCACGCTTGCCAGGGTGGAGCTCCAAGTCAGGTCCACTAGCGGGGTGCAAGGCTTCGGCGAGACATTGGACCTGGCATTGTTGTGAGCAGCCAGCATTGCTACCTCCTGAGCGGATGTGAGCTGGGCCTGTGCTCTCTGCAATCCCGTGCATAGCACCACCAGGACCAGAGTGCACAAAAACAAACGCGACTGCATCTTCTCCAGCACTGATCCTAATTCTCCTCGTCGGTTTAGGTCTCGGTTTAGGTCTCGGTTTAGGTCTCGGCTGTACGTGAGCGACACGGAGTACGTAGCAGTGTATGACGGAACCTGTGGATCAGGAACACTTACAGCACCAAGCAGCGCTGCACGAAAATGTCCTCGGGCTGACCGCGTGCAGAGGTACTAGCCCTAGAAGAGATCCGCAACAGAGATGTCTCACGGAATGGTCCACCAAGCTTCAGACAAAATAATTTTCCTTCTTGCGAGTTTGAGGCTGACAAAATAGCAGCGTGAAGCTAAAAAGAGGTGTCTGAGGCTGTGTTTACATGAGGCGTTTCAACCCGGGTCAGATTTTAACCCGCCACGTACGTGCACAAAATGAATGGCGCGTTTACATGACGCATTGCGCTTGACCCGGGTTGAAATTTCGCCCCAAGAAAATCGTACAAACGTACTTCTGCGCGTATCTCGCGCCAGTTTGAACAGCACTGCACATGCAATTTTCGCGCGAACGGATTCACGTGACCATACAGTGGACTTTTGGCGGCATATCAGTATTTGACCCGGGTCAACTGTCTTCATCAGTTCATGTAATAAACGCTCACCTATTTGTCTATCGTACAGACTTTCAACCCGGGTTGAACTCGACCCAGGTTGAAATTTCTCATGTAAACACAGCCTGAAGGGATTGTTCGCAGAGTCGACTGCTGGCGAAGTGCAGAAGCAAGAGAAGTAAAGAATATCTCATGTAATGAGTACGAGGGTGATACCGGCGAATATCCCGACTACGAAGCAGAAGGGATTGATATGAGGGTACGGTATCACCCGAGCTACGAGGGTGATATTCTACTTATCACATATGACCCTACGAACCTAACACGTACGACCGTCATATCCTGCTTATCACATGCTACATGTGTACATCGAGTCCATAAACATAAACATGATACTACAATTGTACATGTAGTACTACCCACTACTGTACATGTACTGTAGTAGATTTGACCCAGTGAACTGAATAGGACATCACATTGTGTGGAGACCCTCTCCGATGCCACACCCATTCACCCCCGTCTGTCACATCATTCGCGGGACAGAAATATTCAAAGCTTCGAATTGTTTTAATTGAAGTCTAAGCAGAAGTGAAAGGACATCAGCGTAAAAGAGTCCCAGGAAATAGAGATAGAAGAGAAGATGATGAAAATGAAGCAATATACTGCACTGTATCTGAGAATTAGTGCTGCTCACAGGCTTTGACATCATGAACGTGGATGTGAACAGCGCCTGCAAAGTTTCCGGAGAAGATGAACTTTGCGCTGTTCTCCGAAGTGACACACGTGCCGCAGGAAACTTCGGAAAGCGCGCAGTGCAGTGGTACGATCGTATACCGTATACGTACCCAGTGCACCAGTGGCTTTTTTTTTTTTTTTTTTTTTTTTTTTTTGAACAGCATTGCACTGAGCCTCTTGTACGGGTACGGCATCCCGCGCGATCACAGCGGCGCTCACCACCAACATCCTCGACCAAGACTTCAGTGTGACGGAAGCTCTTGCCAGCGTTGCCTCAGCCAAAGCGTCACAGCGTGCAGATCACCGCCAGAAAGCGAAGACCGACATCCGTGGCTTCGCTGCCGACGCATCGCCCACTTTGCAGCACACAATTCAGTTGGCAAGTGAGCCTGGCGCCTCCAGCTGGCTTACTTGTCGTCCGCTATCCCGTCATGGATTTGTGCTATCCAAAAGCGAGTTCCGCGATGGTTTGGCACTGCGCTATGGCTGGCGGCCTTCTCGCTTACCGTCAACCTGTGTCTGTGGAGCCAGCTTCACAGTAGCCCATGCCCTGACATGCAGCACCGGAGGTTTCCCGTCACTTCGACACAATGAGGTGCGGGACATCACTGCCTCGCTATTGAAACGTGTCGCCAATAGTGTCGCTATCGAGCCACACTTACAACCGCTCTCTGGTGAGCAGCTCCGCTACAAGACTGCCTCCACAGATGACCAGGCTCGACTTGATGTTGCGGCGAGTGGTGTTTGGGGAGGTCGGTTTGAGAGAGTCTTTCTCGATATTCGGGTTTTCAACCCCTTTGCTCCCTCAAATCGATCCTCTTCCATCACCGCTTGCTACCAGCGTCATGAACGTGAAAAACGGAGGCGATACGAACAGCGCGTCAAGGAGGTCGAGCGTGGAACCTTCATCCCTGTGGTTTTCGCTGCAACTGGTGGTACTGGTCGAGCTGCTGCCGCTCTCCTCAAGAGAATAGCTGCAATGGTCTCCGACAAATCTGGTGAGCCATACTCTGCAGTGATGGCATGGATCCGCTGCAGGTTCAGCTTCGCCCTTCTCCGTGCAGGCGTGGCTTGCCTGCGTGGTGCACGACGGCTGTATTCGCACCCGGAGGTGGCTGAGTCATCCGCTCGACTCGCTGTCTCGGAAGCTGCCATACAGCACTAGACACTTGTTTATGCCTCGTCATCATTGCTTTTTCTCGTATGGTCCATGTATGTAACTACTGGTACTTGTTTTTATTGTATCATTGTGTTACTTAATTCTGCCCGTACAAGAGGCCGGTTTACCAAGTTAAAAAAAAAAAAGCCTCTTGTACGGGCAAAATAACACATTTTGTGAAGAATCAACACAGTGCACCAGTGGCTAGGGATCATATCTATTGTACAGTACTATACTACTCCCTGACATGATGGTAGATCTACCAGTAAAAAAAAATTAACCTACCCTACATTTAGGCCCTCATCAGACTACGTACATAGAAAATCCAGTACAAAATCACATAAAACCTAAAAGGCAACATTTTTCCATGCCTGCTTTCAGACTACACATTTTACATGCAATATACAGGCAACCTTTGACCCTACGAAATTGCGCAAGGGGCCTGGGATGTGTGAAAGCAGCGGACAGTCGTACCCGGGTACAAAGTTCGTACAACTGCCTGGTGAAAGTACGATAAATGCAGGAAAGTTGCCTTGTACAAGGGTTGGCACCCTGCCTGAAAGGATTGGGCAGCTTTTTAGGCTTCCCGCCAGATTCTTGTTGTTGTCCTGGAAACTTCTATGTAAATGTGACTTATAGGTTGTTTTGTACCTAGTCTGAAGAGGGCCTCAGGCTGTACTCACACTACTTGAAAAACCGCGTACAAGTGACTTACGTGTGAATGTTGCCACGGTGACGGTTGCGAAAATGAAAAAAGCCCTTGAAAGCCGCTTGAAAGGTTTCAGCGGAAACGGAACCCTCTTCTACGAGGTTTTTTGCTTTCAAGCCGTTTGGAAAGCTGTGTGAGGTCAGGAGGCCGGAGCACTATTGTACGTTGAAAGGCTCCAGAATATTTTTCATGCTTTGTTTCCTCGTTGTCGTACTGCTCCTGTACATATACTTGCAGTTTCCTTTTTTTGCCTGTCATTTCTGAATTCTGTGGTGTTTTTTCCGAGTATTTTCCGTCTTTTTTCTTCCAGTAGCTTCCCGTTGTTTTGATTGCCGTTTCTGTCGCATTTCTTTTGTACCATTGCTTTTGTACCGACATCATGCCTCTCGTAGTGTTTTCTGACGACTTGGAGAAGAAGCTCATCGAGCTGTGGAGAGAAACCTCTTCATCCGTCGACGTCGACGATGTGCTACTTCTTCGCGAGGCATGGCGAATGAACTCCACGATCCAAGCAAGATATAACTGTTTCTATTTTTCTCATGAACTTAAAATTTCAAATATGTTCATCGAGCGCAAAAAAATTGAAGGAACGCAGCCTCGGGATTTGCAAAACTACCACATGACAATCATGTTTCTCCATGGTAATTTGCTGACAAAAATGTTTCAAGTCGTCACTGGAGTGCAGTGTGCTTGGAAAGGCTTTTTCAAGTACTTTTGTCTAGTTTTGAACGCGACATTCGCGTCAAACTTTCAAGTAGTGTGAGTACAGCCTTAGGCCGCAACCACACTACGTAAAAACCACAGTACAAATTTTCATGCATATCTCAGTGCAAGTCGGTATGCAACCACACTACACTTTTCGGTCTGCATAGATGACGTTTTCACGGGACCAGCACGTGACGTTGTCGTACCAAAGCGTGTGCCATGCGCTGGAAAAGACCGGGAAATAAATTATTAATTCAAAAACAATGCTGGTGCTGATGCTATGTACGATGAGACGGTACAAAAGCAAAGTTGTACACAGGAGAAGGAGCGCGAAAACGACGAAAACGACAAACGTGGCTTTCTACAGGGGCGCGCCAGTTGCTGAAAACCTACAAAGCGCATTTTGCATTTCGCACGCGTCGGCATGACGATTTCTACTGTAATGCCGTTTGTACGTGATTTTGTACCTAGTGTGGTTGCAGCCTAAGCCCTCATCAGACTACGTACATAGAAAATCCAGTACAAAATCACATAAAACCTAAAAGGCAACATTTTTCCATGCCTGCTTTCAGACTACACATTTTACATGCAATATACAGGCAACCTTTGACCCTACGAAATTGCGCAAGGGGCCTGGGATGTGTGAAAGCAGCGGACAGTCGTACCCGGGTACAAAGTCCGTACAACTGCCTGGTGAAAGTACGATAAATGCAGGAAAGTTGCCTTGTACAAGGGTTGGCACCCTGCCTGAAAGGATTGGGCAGCTTTTTAGGCTTCCCGCCAGATTCTTGTTGTTGTCCTGGAAACTTCTATGTAAATGTGACTTATAGGCTGTTTTGTACCTAGTCTGAAGAGGGCCTTAGAAAAGCGATCCTGTCAGCTTTTCTATTACTAGGGAGGTTCTGCTATACGTGAAACGTAGAGAAATCACGTAGAGAGCAGGTGTCTGGGTTAGAGTCTACGGCCTCGCGTGTTTTGTCTCCAGATTTCTACGCGGAGATGGGGTTCTCTACGTTGTGGCACACGCAGAGAA